AGGTTGCCCATCCTTGCTATACAGGACAGCTTGCTCTCTGGACATCTTACCAAATCACCAGCCATGAAGGCATCTTCTGCTTGCCAGATGCCCATAGCATCTGGTTAGCCACTGTGGCAGCAGGATGCTGCACTAAATGGGTCTTTGGCCCAATCCAACAGGTCTCTTCTTATGTTCTTAAAATTATAATTCCACACACAATCAACACAGGTTTCGCAGCCAAAGAGCAACAAGTCCTTCAGAGCTATGGTGGTACAGTGGGACTGTAGGGACACACGTTAAGCCACTCCCCCAAGGCTTCACAACTGTTGTATCTATGGAGGCTCCAGGGGGATTGAGAAAGCCTGGGAGATCAGGGTTCTCAATCATGTCTCCTGGGGTCCCCTTCCAACTCTACAATTCTATGATTCTATGATTCCTACATAAAGAGAACTGCTGTTTATGTTTGTGGTGTTTATCTAGAGCAGGTGTGGCAACCTTTGGCCTTCTAGGTGTTCTTGAACTACAAATACCATCTATCTCAGCAAACATGGCCAGTGCTTTTTTTTTCTTTATAAAATGTTTAGGGATACTCTCATTTTCCTACTCATATTGTAATTCTGCCCCTCAATGAGACCAAACTTAGATTCACAAAATGTTTAGGGGTATACATACCCCTGCGTCCCCCCAGAAAAAAAGCACTCAACGTGACCATTGACGAGGGATTATGGGAGTTGGAGTTGGTCAGTAACATCTGGAGGAACAAAGGTTCCCCACCCTTGATTCACAGCTGTAGGACCCATGGAAGTCCATTAAGCTTTTTTCCATTGACCTCCATGCAATGTGCATTATAGTTGTGAACTTTGTGTAACCTCAATTGCAGCAAATTTGAGACTTGTAAGGGAGACACAGAGCTAATGAAAGGATGCCCCAAGCCACTCAGGGATATTTCCTTGCCTGTATCTTAGAAATCTAAGCCTGTTAATTCCTGATACACATTGATTTCCATGCCCGACCCGAGTCACTGTCTCCTTTTGTGCTCCCACAGACCATCATTGCAAAAAAGCCCAGTGCCCTTTGATTCCCTTGGTGCAAACTATCGGCAAAACCTTAACACAACTTCGCTTTGAGCCTTAAACTAACAGCACGTGAAAAGATTAATACGAATAAATTCTGAGCTAATCAGATCCCTTCTTTAAATGTTGACACAGTATTATTTATATCCCATAAATACCTTCTTGACTAAAATTCATCCCAGGAGATTGGCAACATGCCAAGGCTATTCATATTTACTGTATTTATATAGTACAGTTGGCCAAGGATAATATTTAAGACAAAATATGCCCTGGGATATATACAATATCTCTTTGCGTTTTCCTTTTAAATCTCTCCATTGCTAAAAATATTTAGACTGAATGTTACAAATGTCCCACAAAGACCTATCAGGGATCTGCTTAGTGATATATAGCCGACTGTGAGTATAATTAGAGCATATTTGCAATACTTGGGCCATAGTCAGTTACCAAATGCTAACATCTCTGTGGTAAAAAAAAAAGGGGGGGTAGTTTTTAAAAAGAACTCTGAATGATGGCTCTTTCCCATGCCTTTCACTCTATGACCTCAGTGTGTTTGCAGAGATCTCCTTTCTCTTCCCGCATCACTGCCTGCTCAACTAATGCAGGAACTGGAGAGTTAAAAAAATAAAAAGGGGAAAAAGACCCACCACCCCGTACGTCTGAAGGAAAGTGTACAAAGCAGTCCAAACCTGCATTTTCAATTCACTCATTCAGATTATATATTTCTTCTTGGCTGTATATTTTTTCTGCCTTAGAATGGCTTGTCCAGCCCAGCGTATATAACTAGACAGTGGAAAAACAGTTAACCCACTTACTGTGATCTTCCCAACCAAGCATTTCCACAGTAAGGCTGGCTGAAGCTCGAAAAAGGGCCTCAGCTCTTAAACTCATGATGCTCTCTATTGGCGGGTACCTGCAATATCCGCACTTGTCCTCCAAGGGCTGTTTTGCCTTACAGACCCAGCTTTGGAGGAGATTCTCACAGGGTTTTTAATTATTCCCGGATTGCAGCTTGGATCGTTTACATTCTCCAGAAGGCACTGTTTAGCCAGGCTAGCGTTGCCTCTTTACGGGGAGGAGAAGTGTGGTTAGAAAGATGTCAGAAACAAAATAAAACAAAAATCTCCAGCTAAAAGGTGATAAGCCTAGATCAAGATGCTGCTAGGATTATAGATTGGCTGGTAAACAGTCTCAGAGCACAGACTCCTGCGGAACAAAGAGATCTCCAATGAGCCAGCGGAAGATCAGTGTGGGTGGGTGAAACGTCTATTTAAGAAGAAGGGGGGGGGGAGCAGCCTTGCCATTCTCTTCTGTGTCTCAATGTTATTGCTACAAATTACGCTAGAGAGCTTGCGTATACCCACTTGGCTCCAGCACACTTGACAAAGTCTTCCTTCCCTCGGGGCAACAAGGGTGGAGCACATTTATCACAGACATTCTGGATGGTGCCTTAATTGCAATAATAAAACCCTTTGATTGCCAGCGGTGTCCTCTTCCAGAGATTGTCATTTTTAACAAATAAAAAAAGGGGGAGGCAGCAGCACAAGGAGAAAGGGGGTGGGGGGTTCTGAGTTCCCTGGCTGGCATCCTGGGACTCTCGCTAGCAAGCCCCAGCAAGCCTCAAAAAGCTACACCTTGGTTGCCTTCAAAATAAATAGAAGAGGCTACAATTAGAAAGTCTAGGCTAAAGCTGCCAAGGTGGCTGCATTACGCATTTCGGAAAGAGGTATGCACTTTTCAGAGACAGACCAAGTATATGAGTATCAAATAAAGTTATAAGGGTGGGGGGGAGGGGAGGGGAGGGGAGAGGGAAGACTGGAAAACAAATCAGGGAAAAGAAACACTTAGCCTAGGCATGTAGTAAAGCTGCCTCGTTTTTTTTCTCATACGAAGTTTCCTACAGATGGGTAGCCGTGTTGGTCTGCCATAGTCAAAACAAAAAAAAATTCCTTCCAGTAGCACCTTAAAGACCAACTAAGTTAGTTCTTGGTATGAGCTTTCGTGTGCATGCACACTTCTTCAGATACACATCTGAAGAAGTGTGCATGCACACGAAAGCTCATACCAAGAACTAACTTAGTTGGTCTTTAAGGTGCTACTGGAAGGAATTTTTTTTTGTTTTGAAGTTTCCTACAATGATCGACATTGGGGTTTGATTTTCTACGTATTCTTCCCTTCCTACCCACCCACCCCAGCTGGCAAAAAAGGTGAACTGACTACAGTGGAATGTGAATGGGTCCATTTTACAGATGAAGAGACTAAGGCTGCTATCCTTGTTGAACGCAGTGGAACTTACTTCTGAGTAAGCTTGTAATTTACTGCACAGCAAGGCTGGAATCCTATGCACACTTACTCGGGTACAAAGCCCATTGGGCTCAATATTCTGAGCAAATGCATAGAATTCCTCAGAACGGCTGCTAGACAAGAGTCAGCCGGCCAAAGCCAAACCAAGAAGTCCAAGTCGGAGGTGGGATTTGAATTCATGTCTCTCACCTCCAAACACTAAGTCTCTGGACCACAGTGGCTCTGGCCCAATGCACAGAGCCAGCTCTTTCAAGCTCTAATTTATTTTTCAGAAAAGAGTGCACATAATCAGTTCCAGCTGAAGCCTTCACAGACTGTGTCCAGGAAGCTGGACTTAAAAAAAAAAAGAATTAAGGGAGTATCATTTTGTACCTGGAAATAAGGTCATCACAAATGGGAACAACTAAATTGAAAATAGGATCTAAAGAGGCACTTCCTGCAGGATCTGTCCTTTTTTTGCTTGTACCAATTGCAGCAGCCAGCTTCAAAAGAAACTCGGTTTTGGGGTGGATACACTACTGAGCTAGATTGCTCCCCTCTCTCCAAGGTACATTGAAATGGACCACTGCCCATATCAGACACAAACCAGCAGCGGGAAGTGAAGTGATCAGCTTTGGAAGCTACCAACTGAACTGAAGGGGGGGGGCTAGGCAGGTGATAAGAAAATAGCTGAGAGAATACTTTTGGGGTGGGTAGGGGGGGTGGGCTTTAACAAAGTAAACTAATCCTATTAAGGGGAAAGTTTGTTGACCCAGGTGTTGGCCAAATACTAAGGGGAAACATACCCGGATTGCTGGCTGGCTAGGGGCAGGCAAAGACTGGATGGAGAGCATCCACAGAGAACAGATTGAGAAGCCACTATTCCCACCCAAAGTGGGGGCGGAGGGGAGGGCTTTGAAAAATAAACAGAGGGAATTTGAGGATGAGAACAGATAAGGAGGCTTATTAATGTATCTGGCATCGGAAGGCACCAGGCACTGCCAAAAACGATGGGAGTGAGGCAGGAGGATTGCCAGATGTCCCCTTCTTTTCGAAGGGTGATTCCCGGGTGCTTAGATTCCAAAATGAGAGGTGCCAGAGACAAAGATTAGGTGGGAGTCGCACAGAATTCCCAGGAAGCCCTTAACTCTGCATCTCAGATTTGCTGTCCAGTAGAGAGGCAAAGGAAAAGCACTCTGCACATGCTCTGGAGAATGCCCTTCTAGAGACTATGTGTCATGTGCCAGGACTGAGGTCCCACACAGAAAAACAAGGGGGGGTGATCCCCAAGACACAGGAGCCTGATCTCAACATAAACCCCAGCGAGGATCCCAGATTTCAGTTCGTTAGACCTCCCTCTGGTGCAAAGGTGCTTCGTTCACCTGCCCTCTCCGTATCTCGTCTCCACCCCAGCATCACAGAACCAGATCTGGAAAAATATTTAAAATGCAGAAATATTTAAAATTGGGAGGGGCTTCGGTATTCTTAGAGGCGACCCCAAATTTTATTTCCTTCTTGGGCAGCTGTACCCCTGGGCTGTGCTTAAACAGTCAGGACAGCCTATATTATTTTCTAGAGATTTTGATCTTAGCAAGGCTCGCTCTGACCGCGTGCGCGTTTTTCTGCCCCCAAACAGCCGCCGGCGCGCGCATTCGCACTTACTTGCGGACTGGAAAGTAGGCTGCATGTCTACTTTGTAAACCTCTTTGGCGTAATACTCCTCGTCGCTCCTCTCCTTCTCGCAAGTAGCTGCCCTGTGGTTCGCCTTCTCCTGCAACAGGTCCCTGGTGCTGTTGTAGATCGAGATGACCTCCGGAGGAACCTCCTCGGGCTCCGGGTACTCTTCCGGAGGGCTGTTGAGTTTCAGTTTGCTCAGGATCTGCCCCCGGATCGCTTCGATCCTCTTGCGCATAAACTGATCCATGTCGAGGGTGCTGCACGTCGACAGGGCGAAGGCCACCGTGGCCAGATCCAAGGTGAGGAAGACGCTCCAAAGGTAGCAGTGCATTTTTAGGAAGGTTGAGAGAGAAAGCACCAAAAAGCAGGTTTTCTCACTCTTCACCTTTTCACCTACCCCCCAAAAAGTGACCGGTTCCCCCCTCCCCCCTCCGGTCTTCTTGCTTATGTGGACGCGTGAGAATAAGGCTGAGAATTTATATATATATTATAGATTTTGGAGAGAGGGGAAGAATGCAACAGATCGCTAGTCCAAACAGTAGCTTGCACCGGATTTCTGGCCTCCAAAATGCTGGGATTTGGGTCGCACGATTGCGAGCAGCCGTGGCGTTGCAGCAGAAGCAGCAAGTTCAACCCGGCAGTCGCTTCTTATTAAAAACTGCAACAGGTTGATGAGCGGTTTTTCTTTTTTCGAAAATAGCTGCAACAGGTTGCAAAGATTTTCTTTTTAAGCAGGTTGTTACCACCACAGCAAACAGATTGCAAATCAGCAACGGTAGCTGCGCTTCCACCAGGAAGGAAAAAAAAAGAGGGGCGATACTGATAATAAAAAAACCCGAAAGAATAATAATAATAATAATAATAATAATCACGTCAATAGTTTCTTAGAGAGCTGAAGGGGTTTGGGCGGGTGGAGAGAAAGAGAGAGGCAACTGGCCACCAATTCAACTGCGGGCTTCCGAGACGCGGATCTCCGGCTTCCCACGAGCTCTCGCGCTCCTCAAGTGAGATGGCACCGGCTGGTAGTCGGAGGGAAGCCCGTCCAGGGGGGATGCCGCCCCCCGGTCCTCCTCCTCCTCCTCCTCCTGCCGGAGACAGTCCGCAGCTCCCCCTTTGGCCGAGGGGCCGGCGCCCCAGCGCGCTGGGAGGCGGCAAGCGCCCACGTGTGTGCGTGTTTGTTTGGATGCGTGTGCGCGCACGCCGGGGGAGCAGCCGAGCCGTGCCAGGGGCGCGCGGCCGGGCGCCTTAAGGTGGCTGCGCCGGGTTCCCCGCCGTCTCCTGCACCCGCGTGGAGTTGCTCCTCCTTTTCCCCGGGCCCGCGGGCTGCTCCTCTCGCTGCTACTCCTGCTGCTCCCCAAGCAGCCAGCTAGTCTCCCTCTTCTCCTCTGGCTACTTCTGGCTGCCCGACTTTTCTAGGAGCTCCCTCCTCTTCCACAATTAAAAAACAAAAGGAGAGAAGAAGGAGAAAAACCCAAGACACAGTCAAGCGAGCTGAGCTGCTCCTTCCCCAACCTCTTTCTTTTTTCCTTTCGAGTGGACTGCAAGAGTTGGAGTCTTCCAGGCAGCCTCTCTTCTTCTCCTCCTCCTCCTTTGCTTGGCACCTTCCTCCCCCGAGTAGGTGCTTTCTTGGTGCTGCCCAGGACTTCTTCCTCCCCGGCTTGAAGCGCAGCCCCAGGTCCGCCCCTCTCGCCGCTCCTGCCCTAGCGAGAGAGAGACCCTTTCGCCGGCCGAGAGCAACATCGCGGGCTTGGGCCGGCAGAGGGAGAATTTATAAGGGCTGCCCGCACCGCGTGTGCGCGCGTGTGCTTGGCCTCCCCGGCGAGGTGACGCGCGGGGGTTGCCGGCGGAGGCGGCAGCGGAAGATTCCCCCGCCGTCGCTTTCTGTCACTGGTGGGGCCAAGGCGCCCCTCGACCCCGGGGCCAGGGAAGGAGACGGGGAGCCCCGTCCACGGCCGAGGGAAAAGAAGTTTCCTTGGGCCAGGCGATCTCTCAGCTTCAAGATTTCCTCCTTTATGGAGAGAAAGGGCACACTATTTCACGCGTCTTGAAATAAAGGAATCCGGTGAGATTTAAGGAGCCCCTACTTTTAAAGCCAGCTTCGAAAAGATAAGAGAGACTACGCAAAAAGTTGGTTTCCACCAGGGGTGCCAACTTGGGGGGGGTGTCAGGTAAGCCCCGCCCTGCATAATTGGACACGTGCATGCACACCATTTAAATGGCAAAGCCCATCAACTTTGGAGGGGGTGTAGCCCTCTCAAATATTTTTTGGGGGGGCCAAAGGGGCCTCGGCCCCTAGGAGTTGGCTCATGTGGTTCCCACCTCTTTTTGCCATCTGAAGGAGCCATATACCGTGGTACCTCGGGTTAAGAACTTAATTTGTTCTGGAGGTCCGTTCTTAACCTGAAACTGTTCTTAACCTGAAGACCACTTTAGCTAATGGGGCCTCCCGCTGCCACCATGCGATTTCTGTTCTCATCCTGAAGCAAAGTTCTTAACCCAAGGTGCTATTTCTGGGATAGTGGAGTCTGTAACCTGAAGCGTCTGTAACCCAAGGTACCACTGTATACGACATAAAATATGTCTCTCCCGCATCTGTTTCTAGAGCCACCGCAGGTGCTACAACCTTCCAACAAATTGACCTCACCTCTCCATTGGCTCCCAGGCAGACGGATGCCAACGAGGAACAATGAGCTGTTTGGGACTTTATTCAGAATTACACACATACAAACAGTGCTTGGGTAGTTATTGCGCAGTAGGATCCCAATAAAGGTCTTCCCTCCAGATGTTTTTGCCTGCAACTCCCATTAGGTCTAGCCAGCACAGCTGTTCTGACTGGGGATGGTATGGTGGGTTGTTCCAAAACATCTGGAGGGCACCAGGTATGGGAAGGTAAACCGTTTTCACTTCTTCATAGTCAAGGCTGTGGAACTCATTCCCCCAGGAGGCAGTGATGGCCACCAACTTGAATGGGATGAAAAGAAGTTTAGACAAATTCTTGGAGGAGAGGGCTATCGGTGGCCACTAGCCAGGGTGACTATGCTCTACCTAGAGACAGCAATGCTTCCGAATACCATTTCCTGGAAACCACAGAAGGGGAAAGGGCTCTTGTGCTCATGTTCTGCTCACTGGTTTCCCATAGGCATCTGGTTGGTCACTGAGAACAGGATGCTGGACTAGATGGGCCACTGGCCAGAGCAAGCAGGCTATTCTTATGTTCTTATATTGGTTTGGTTTTATTTGTAGAGGGGGGGGTTGGGGGTGTTACAGCTTGCCCCAAGTATAAATGCAATAAGGTCCATCGGTTACTAAATGCTTACAAACTTCCTAATGTCACGGGAGATCTCTTCACATGAACAATGTCTGCAAATGGTTGCTACCTGGAATAAATATAGATTTATCATCCAACAACATCTGAAGGATCACAGCTTCCCCTTACCGGACATATGTCCTGATCATCACTTACAGACCACTTGATGGCACACAAGGAAGAATTTAAATGCAAGATAGGATAGAGAATCACATGGAAACATTCCAGCTCGCTGCACTTTATGGTTCAAAGCAGGGAATTCAAGTCCCCCCGTCAAGCCTAGGGATAAAAGGAAGAGCAAGCAAATCATCCATGCAGACACAAAAGGCTGGCATATTGTGGCTGTAAACCATTGTGAATCCCCTACTCCTGCTACAACTACAGAGGGTCTGTGCATGAATTAGGCCTGTGAATCAGCGTGGCTGTTGACCTCTTCCTAAACATAGAATCCAGAGCAATTATTTGTTATCTTTGGCAGAATCCTAAATATCTCAGCACTCAGAAATAGCAGCCGAAGTTTAGTCATACGGCCATACTTCTTGCATGACAAGAATCCCGCAGTAGCTTGATTTGGTAAGATAACGTCAAGCCATAGGTGATCTCTTGTAGACTTAAGTGAACCCTAAAAATATAGACCCTTCAGAAAGGGAGGACAGCACAAATGGCCCGTACATGAACATGCACAGGTATATACTCTACATATTACAGTGGTACCTTGGGTTAAGTACTTAATTCATTCCGGAGGTCCGTTCTTAACCCGAAACTGTTCTTAACCTGAAGCACCACTTTAGCTAATGGGGCCTCCTGCTGCCGCCATGCCGCTGGAGCACGATTTCTGTTCTCATCCTGAAGCAATGTTCTTAACCCGAGGTACTATTTATGGGTTAGCGGAGTCTGTAACCTGAAGCGTATCTAACCCAAGGTACCACTATATCACAAACATGATGGGCGCAAGCCTAAGTGCCCAATCCTGTACTATGTGTATAACAACAAAGAATCCTGAGGTACATCTCAAGACTAGCAGATTTACAGTCGGGGTGCCAACTTGAATAAAATATTGGGGGGGGGGTCAAGTAAGCCCTGCCCTGCATAATCAATCACATAACATGGAGCACGGACACCATTTGAATGGCAATGCCCATCAACTTGGGGGGGAGCAGCCCACTCAAATATTTTATTGGGGGCCCCAAAGACCTCTCAGCCCTTAGGAGTTGGCTCCTTAGGAGTTGACTGCTAGAATGAGTTTCACTCGCTTCTGCATTTCTATCAGGAAATTATATGCAAAGATCTCGTTCCTCTGTAACTAATTCAAGTTTGACAAAAGAGGAAAGAACTCTTGACATGAAGGCTGACATGACATTTTTCAGTTTGGATGATGCCTGAATGCAGGCTTTGATGTCCTGAAAGCAAATGCCTCCCTGGACAGCATAAGTATCCTCAAACTAAGCCCACCGTTGCATTGCAATATGTTCCCCAATTAAGCAGTTAGCGGCAAAGCATTTGCCTTCCTTTAATTTCACTTTCCTTTCGCTTGTTTGTGTTACATTTAGGCCTAAGCAGGCCCCAAAAGAAGTCTGGGGCTTGACTTTAATACATTTCTGAACTCTACATTCTGGAAAGAGATGTACTTTTCTAAAGTCAACTTCCTAACATACATATTCCACCACAGGCATGTGAATACAATGGTGTCCTTTTCTACATACTTTTTATTATTATTATTATTATTCTCTCACTCTCTCATGACAAAAATAGGGACACCTGGAAAGTTACTTTCTTGAGCATAAGGATCTTCTGTTTCCTGTTAACTTAAAAATTAAGTGATCTAGATTTTTAAAAACAATCTTGTGGTTTCTTTTTACATTGTTAAGTGCAAATGCACTATGTAAGACGTAAAGGTAAGACTCCTTCTGCATCTGCTGACGACCAAGTCATTACATAAGAAGGCTGGCTATGTTTCTTACACTAAAGACCATTGTTGGAGGAAAAATATGTTTTGGAATTTAAGAGGTAATTTTCATGCGCTGCACAATGACAACAAGCGTCAGAGAGTTGCACAATTTCCCTTCTCTGTGGCAAGGTAGTTACAGTCCTAAAGCAGATTGAAGTCTTATTAAAAAAAACCTTTAATTTGTGTTCTTTCTCTCTCACTCTCTCTCCAAGTTGTAGGCTGGGACTAAGATGGTTCTTGTAAACAGTTGAAAGAAGGCTCTCCCCAACAAATACAATTTTAGAACACAAAACCCTCATTGTAATGACATAAGATGAAATTTGGCAGCAATGTGGAAGCCTTCCCAATCGTTGCCTGTGACGCTGTGTTGTCATCCTCATGACCATTCTAACCGCTTAATTCTAAACAATGGACCATCTGCCAACAGCTTCAAGTGAGGGAGGTGAAAGTTTGTCTAGGAAAAGCTTCACACTGGCTTTAGGTATGGAAACTGAATAGTGGAAAACCTCACAAGGAAGAAATCCTCTCTTTGCCAGTCTTAAAAGGCAGAAGATCCACTTGGCAGGGCCTGTGAGAGATAATCTGCTGCCCCGGGGCAAAGGATAAACTGGGACTCCACATCCTGCATACAGAAACTGACAAAACGGGTAGTGAAATCTTACTTGAACACTGGTAATGGGGCAACATAGCTGAGGGCGCCAGGCTAGCTTGGTCCTACAGGGCAGACCATGTGGTATAAACCAGGCATGGGGTACGTTTGGCCCTTCAGATGCTGCTGAACTAGAACCTCCATAATTCCCAGCCGTTGACCATGCTGGAAGTTGTAGTCCAGCAACATCTAGAGAAGCAAAGCTCCCACACAAACAAAACTGTCCACACCTGCCATAAGCTCTGCTCCGCACTGCTGCCTGAGGAGGCTGCCTCACTCTGCCTAATGATAGGGCCAGCTCTAGGCAATTCAAGAGCACAGTGTGGTTCAGGGGAAAGCAGAGAAGAAGAGACATGACAAGAGGCCAGGCTGATTCAGATATGCTGCCTCAGCAGCTTACAGGAAGCTGGCATAGTGGGCAATGGAACCAGCATTTCTCTCATGGCAATAATAGCTTTGTCTTCTCAGCAGCACATCTCTCATCTAAAAAGAGGCACATCTAGGACCCCTTTCATATACGGTATCCTTTTTTTAAAAAAAACCAAAACCAAACCTGTCATATAAATCAGTATTTTCACTTTCATTCAGCTGTTCTGCTTATTCGGTTTAGAATCCTGAGAGATTGTTCTATAGCATTCCCAAATTAATCCACCTTTAAAATAAAGTGGCAAACAGCTGCAAAGGCCACCCAAGCTTATAGTTGGCTCTCAGCTGTCCCTCGTTCAAACCTCACATTTACTCCAGGCTCCAGGACTTTGGTGGAGCTACTTTTACGGCCTGCAAACCAGTTTGCATGTGGAGCACAAGAGCCAAGGAACGAAAGTAAGAAAATGCACATTGAGCAGGTGCAGAGTCACCAGATTTTGCTAAACGTGGAAAGTGACTTGAAATCTGGG